AGAGAGAAATAAAGTCAAGAGGTAAAATGGGGAGGAAGAAATAGTCTTGTGGCCCGGGAGAGAAGTGATAGATGGCAGAAAAGGAGGATAGATAGAGGTGAAGAGGAAGAGGCCACTTTGAGATATGATCTCAACAGAGGTATGGGTGGAGTGTGCGGCGAGTGCGTATTCTCCACCGCACATTATCGGCCCGAGAGATGTTGGCCCCTTCATGCTGAGGAACACACACCCTCACACACTTTTCTCCCCCCTGACTTCATTAGCCAAACCGCATGCAGAGCTCTGGGAGTAATTGGCTGCTCTTTCAGCCTCCTAATGGCTGGAGGAGAGGAGAGAACAGGAGGTGAACTAGAAGAATTACTGTCATTTATTAAAAATCTCCACTTGAAACTTACTTTCTAACTTGCTTTTATAACATTTCTTTTTAATACTTTCTAATTAGCTACTTTATTGTTTCTGTGGTTCTTTCCTCTTCCTACTTAACTTGTTTTTATGCTTCTATTAGAAGACAAAAGGAGGAATAACTTAATGGTCCCATCAGGTTATTCCAGACCAGTGTCTATTGATTGGATTCCTCCCTAATTATGCTGCTTAAGCTTGATATCTAATTTGTTCATTAGTTGAAAGTAAAGCACTTTTGGTACTTTGACATACTTGTACTTCACTGGAGTACTTCCATTTTATTCTACTTTTCATTTCTACCCCACTACATTTCAGAGGGACTTTTTATTTATTTAACAGCTGTAGTTAAAGGTTACTTTTCAGATTAAGATTTTACATGAAAAAAACACACACATTGATTCATTAGTATTAATAATTTAATAATGTAAAATATAATAATATATAATTTGCTGAACAAGAACTTTTACCTTAAAGGATATTTTGATTATAATATAGAAAAGATTCTTCCACCACATTCACTTCACACACATTTAAAAGCAAGCAACTGCAGTCCATTCATAAAAGGCAAGCAGCAAATCCAAAAGAATAATTCACACGGTAAGGATGCTTTAACAAGGACCAAACCCAACACTTGCTGTGCTCTAAGCCACATCGAGGGTCACACTCCGATTGATTGGTGACATCTCTAGTTTGGGCACGCGCTGTGTTTTCCCCTGAGCCGTCCACCTCCAGCAGAGCAGCTGCTCTCTCGGCCTTATCACAGGCTTTATCAGACTGGATGTCTGACGGGCAGGAGACGCTCCTCCCAGTAGGATCAGGGCAGATTATAGGGTCGGCAGCGCACATGGGAAACACAGACCTCGTGTCAACCCACGCAGGCCACATCCCACACATCCCACTCCCCTACATATAAAAACATAGCCACGTCAAGGCTTACAAAGCCTGTGGCTCCGTTAGTCTTCTCTAATTCTCACTATAGCTTTACGATAAAGATGTAACATGCAACATTATGAAGAAGTCATAATGATCATCAGGGTTATTCTGGCTCAGGCTTGAGACTTAAATTTTTTACTGAAAGACTGTGTTACAAACAGAGGTGTGGGGTTTGAACGAAGTGGAAGGGAGGGACAGTCTAATGAAATACACTTCTAATTGCATTAGAATCCAGTGTTTCTTAAAGCTTGGCCTATACTAAAGACTAAAAGTGAGGATATCTTGGTGTCTGCTGTTTTACCCAAACTTCAAGCAAGTTCAATACTAAATCATGTGAGTACCCCTTTAACATGCTTCCAGTTTTTCAGTTAGAAATGTCAGCTTCAAACATTGGTGTAATAAATGAAACTATGTTTTAAGCAGGTGGCTGTTGATTTTGTCTGTTTGAATATAATCATTATATAGGACACAGGAGGTGACCGCAGCTTGCAAACAGAGTACACTGAGCAGGCCCAGGACCCATCCCTGCTTGCACCAAAAAAGTCTTCACACCTAAACAACAAAATTGGTAATTTTGGTAAGTTTAAGCAACTAAAACCGCTTAATTGTTATGTCTAGGGAAAGATCGTGGTCGTGGTTAAAGGTCTTGAAAACCTACTTTCTCAATCAGATTCCTACTGTGAGCAATGTGGTCCTAAATGAGCACAATATTGTCTGCCAGCATTAGGGCATTTTTGGGCTATTTCATGTTTATGTTGTTATGCATTGTCAATCAAATCTGATCAAGCCAAACCCACAGCAGTTGAGTTTGAGTTGAGTAGAAAGTGTTGAACTTCAACTCTATTTGTTGCTTATTTTCCCATTAAATACGTTTGATTTGAAAGGGGCTTAAAAATAAACCAAAGTTGACTGTTGGTGGAAGATGACCCACAGTATAATAGCAGTACAACAACATTAAGCTACTTCCGCAATTTCGCACTACTAAAAGATAGAAATGTAAAAACACTGTGGTGAGGACAGTGTGTTATATTCAATACGTAATTGTAATCATCATAACAATCGTGGAGATAATGGTTCATAGGAAAGTGGTATTTGAGCACTAAAGACAAAACGTAATATAACTCTCATAGAGGATAAACAGAACCATTTCCTCCCCATTACAGTTTTACACTGCCAGACCACAGAGCCATTTTACACTCAGCCTTTACGTCCATCTCTTTGCTGTTCTCTTAATGATTATGTTCTCTTTTCTTTCCATAAAGAGAGTTAGTGTTGTCCTCTGAGAAAATTCCAATGGCCTTCCACATCCATCATGCTGCCATAAGATGTACAAACAGCAGGCCTCTGCGGGGGGAAGTTAACCCGACCCGAGGCCCGGATGCCTCTCTGGCTACACCGAGGTCTCCGAACATCAGGAGCATTCAAAGCCCTTACTTGTCTCCCTGGAAGAAAGGAAAAGCTCCAAGTGGCTGAGCCTTTTTGCGTTTCTATCCCGTGATCCACCACTGACCTGTTCTCACGTGACGAGACAGAAACCTTAATTCAAAGTGACTTTCAGGTCGTGTACTTATGTATTCCATGCATACATGTGGTCAGGGGCATCTTGTCAAGAATTTCTAGCAGCGTCACATGAGAGCAAGGTCACTGATATGAGCAACACTGGATGGTTCCTGCGAAAGCCTGCAGTATAGAATATAGAAAGAAGTGCATTGTGCACAGTGGAGACATGCATGAAGGAGCCACTGAAGAGAGTAAGAGGCGATATTAAAAACTAGTTCCCTCTCCCTCTGCACCGCAAATCACCTGCCTCATTGAAACACAAGCTGACTACAACATCTATCATTTTTCTAGGTGCTCAACGCCTCAGGGTTAAAACCTCTGCTGCTCTGTATGTATACAAGTGTGTATGTGTGTGTGTGCAGGCAAGTGTGTGTATGAGCTGAGTTACTGAGAGAGAGGTGCTCCAGCACACATTTATCTTCTTATGTAACAACTAGACTAGCATTAGCACATGCAGGCTAAACGCCGCCTCTACCCAGCAAAACATCGGCAGCAGGACTCTGCCCGTTAGTTATGTTTCCTCAGGACACAATCCCCAAATACACATTAATTAGTCAGGACCGTTCCTCCGCCGTGACACATTCCCATTAACCTGAGGTCAGACCCAATGTCGGCCGCATTATTGGATCTTTCATCATTCTCTTCATGATTAGCTGCCCCAAACGACAACCGCAGAATGACCACAGTGCCTTTTCGACCCTATAACTGCAACTCGTGTTACTCCCGTGAACATCCCTGAGTGGATGACGGGCGACTTCCCACACAAGATCTCACTTCTCTGTGCCTAATGCCAAGTCTGACAGGAACCAGTTAAATCTGAAAGGATTACACCGAAGGCGCACAACGGCTGGGTGGCATTTAGGAAAGAAAACGAAGAGGCAAATGTATTATATCGCCGTAGCACAGCAGGGCCTGAATCAGGCATAAACGGGCTTGTTATCTCAAGGAGAAGGAGAGCAGAGGTGAACACCTAAGTGACAGATGATAATTAAAGATGGCATGTTATGTTCCCTCAAGGGCTACTGGGCCCCTGCCTATTATTTTATTTATTTAGTCCACAACATAAACCTCTACTCCATCTCCGCTGTGGATAAAAGGATAAATCAAATGTTTTATGAGATGCCGAGATTGCAGCTATACGATGGAGTGGGCTAACTGAGCAGACCTCAAGCTGCATTAGAACCACACTGATTGGTTAGTAAGGCTGGTATCAACCTATTACAGAGCAGTCAGATAGCCTAATAAGTCCTGAGTCTCAGTAATAGAGCAAAGAACTTTATGCCTTGGCTCATTCAGCTGATGTTATAGTATCCTGTAGGTTAGAAACAGCAAATATAGCATATTACTGCTAAAATACTACAAAATAAAAGCCATTTATTTGATTGAGATATCTGTAAACTGACTCATGAAAAACAAAATACACATAATTCAGTAGCCTATTTATATATCGGTCTATAATGTTGCCATATAAGAATACTCATATACTCTGCAGTCTCAACAGGAATATTACAGCCTGGGCAGCCAAAAAGAGGATGCAGTTCAATCTTTCTTTTCCTCTTTTCCCTCCTGTATGCCCTCTTTCAGGGAGATGAGAGCTGAATACACCTCGTGGCTCTAAAACAGAGAGAGAGAGAGAGAGCTGGAAGATCCAGAGCACCACCGTGCGCATCCGTCCTTGCCTCTTGTCCCGCGTTCAGATCATTCATAAAAATGGCAGACCGACGCCACTATCATCCTATTGGCTGCACAACACACCTTTTTCGTCCCTTTTTCTTTTAGTGATTACATTAAAGCGCTCCCTCAGATGATCAGCCCGAGTGGACCGCACAGAAAGCATCAACATCTGCCTTAATGCGATCAAACAAACTGCAGGGGGTATACGGGAATGCTCTCAGATCACATACAGTCGGCTCAGCCTTCACTCGGCGCTTTATTGTCGCCACACAGCCGAAATACGCATCGTTTCAGCGGGTAAACAAAAGCGTCCGCGCCGCTTCTCCACAAGCTGAATGCGTTCTACCAGCGACAGCGTTACAGAAAGCATCCATTAAATAGCTATGTCAGAGCACCTGTGATGTATGCGAATGTCGACCCTTCTTCCTTACCCGATGAAGCCGAGGCAGTGTCTGTGGAGGAGAGGCTCCGGATCAGCGGGGCCGGTGTGCGGGACAGCCGGGTAGAGATGCAGGAGATGCTCGGCTCCTTCCTCCTGGTGCTCCAGGTGAATAGTGTTGACCGAGATCTCCGTCCGCTTACTTACTACTGCTGCTACTGATTCTTATTGCACACTCACACAGACCCACTCACACACACACACACACACACACACACACTGAGTGACTGAGTGACTGAATAAGTGGCCCTTGGCTACAGCAGCCGAGCCCTGCAAACCATGTTACCGTGAAGAGGCAGCAGTGATGGTGCTGCGGTGCTGCTGCTGCTGCTGGCGTATCCTCTCCTCCGGGGGCCGGGTTTGAGACGGGATAGCAGCGGAGGACAGTGTGTTTGAGTGGTGAGCGCCGTTGGAGTGGATTTAAACGGGGGGATGGTTTCGTTGGGATTACGTGGTAGGGGTTTAATTAGACAGCGCAGCGCCTATTGGCACCGACGTTGCGCACAGACCTCCTCCTACTTCCCCCCCCCTCT